TATTATCATTATCGTATTGTCGTTGCCATATCATCATTTTCATTTTTTTATCACTATGATTATCATTATCATATTATTATTATCATTATGATCCTTATCATACTATATTCATCATTATCATCATTAATATAAATTAAATGCTGCATTATCATTACCATTATTCCATCATCATTACCACTCTGATTATTCTGTTATCTTCATACTCGTCATCATTCTGTTTTCACTGTTTCCTTATCATTATTCTCCTAATCTGTTCATATTCATTTTTCCATTATCACTGTTCTATTTTCATTATCATTATCATGACTCTTATCATTATCATTATTCTGTTATCGTTACGTTTATTACTCTTACGCTTATCTTTATTCTGTTGCCCTCATTTTTATTCTATTATTCTTATCCTTCTCATCATTGCATTACCATCATCACTGTTATCATTGACATAGCATCATTATCATTGTGAGTATTTCTCTATCCCGATCTTTGTATTGCCTTTGTCGTATTACGCTTACCTTTATCCTTATTCCGTCATCCTTTTCATCATCCTATCTTCATTATCCTTATTCTATCCTCCTTACCGTTCCCTCCCCCCCCTTCCGCAGGACATCGTGGAGTACATCACGACGGCGGGGCGGAGGAGGCGGTGGGCGCCTTCGGGGGGCTTATGGGCGGGAGGGCGCCCCGAGACGGACATCCTGGACTTCATAACCGACGGGGGCGTCGAGCACCTCCAGCAGAAGCTGCCGGGGATTGTCGTGCCGCTGCTGGTGAGTCTCGGGGGCGGAGGCCGCGGGTCGGGGCCGTGACACTTGGTGTTTATTTCGCTTTTTGTTTGTTTTGTTTTCCCTGTTTTATGGAAGCCTTGTCGTTTTTTGTAAGTTGTGGAATTTATTTATTTATTTATTTATTTATTGTAAATCGTGCATGGTTTTTTTCTTTTTTACAAGTCAACAAGTGTTTTTTTTTACGAGTATCGTATTATTTTTTTTAAGAAGTGTCGTTTTTTCAAGTGTTGCTTTTTTTAAAGCGTTTAGGTTATGTTGCATCTACAGGTTGTGTCATCTTTGTAAGTCGCATCGTATCAAGTAGTGTCGAGTTGTCGTTTGCAGGTCCTGTCATGTCGATATTATTGCGTTTGCGGTCCGTGTCATGTCTTCAGGTCGCGCCGTATTTCCAGGTCGTCTTTGTAAATCGTTTCCCGTCTGAAAATCATGGTGTATCTACAAGTCATGTCGTAATTATAAGCCATGTCATATAGGTAGTGTTTACAGGCCGCATTATGTCGTGTCTTCATGTTAGATCATGTCTCCGGACATGTTGAGTCTGAAAGGATGGACGAAAGGGTAAGTCTGAAAGGATGGACGAAAGGGTAAGAGGAAAACTTGTTAAACTTGCTGTTTCATGTTTCGTTTTTTTTTTTTTTGCACATGGTAGTATGTGGCATCGTTCACGGCTTGGGCATTTGTATGACTTGTGAGAGGTACCAGATTCTGAGAACTGTGGTTTTACATTAAATATCTTTCTCAATGACACACACACACACACACACACACACACACACACACACACACACACACACACACACACACACACACACACACACACATATATATGCATATATATATATATATATATATATATATATATATATATATATATATATATATATGTATATATATATAAATATTATTGCACAAAAAGAAAATTCTATAATCAATGTAATACTTAGAGATTCATGATTCTACAAATTATTGGAAATTCACATAATATAAAAGACACATACTCTTCAACACCGATAAAGAAAGAGCTATCACGAGCACATGCATGGGAACATAAAAATGATGATCTATGAAGAAACTATGACCCATGAAAGTATATATAGCTATGATCAATCCACTAACCTATATAAGGAGGGCCTTTTTCACCATAAATCTTTGTCACACACTTCCTCCTTGATGCAGGAAGGCTGGTGGGAGCTCAGTGACCCGGAAGAACCCAGGGACTGCTTGCAACAGAGCGTGTGCCAGGCCAATGCTGTGCTTGCGCGTGACTACGGGGGTGCAGGAAGGGTCATTGCAACGTTGATAAGGTAAGGGATGCAATAGCGATGTTTTTTCTTGTTTTCTTTTTTTTTAGTGCATTACGGTGTTCTTGGGTGCTGGATTTAAGAATGATAATGCTGTTATTATCAGTTATTTTTATCGGTATCATGTTAACGATAGTAAATAAAACAATCTAAAAACTAGACAACAACCATTTAGATATCATTAGTGTCTTGTTACTATATATCAAAAACTATTAATGTCGCACCGCCGTCTCCCTTTCAATTTAAACATCAACAAAAAACTCTTTGACTGCCATTGACACCCTTTCCTATTCATCTCGAACAATATCGACTCACCACTTACACCGCGTCCCTTTAAATCATGTTATGAAATTATATTAAGCAATTCAATCTTTACTTGCCTGTGACACCTCTTTCCCTCCAATAAGATGCAGGATCTGAAGCTCAAACTACAATACATTCAACTTTGTGACGATGATATATAAGGGCATTGGCGACCAAAGGTGTTCTAAGACCATAAGAATAAGTGTTCTTAGTTGTTCTTAAACCATAAGCACTCATATAATCTCATGAAGTCTCCATGTACATTCAGCTCTTCTCTCGCCACTGGCACCATCTCCCTCCTAAGAAGATATCTAGAAGAAAAGGTATGAATGCGAATGAATATCTTCACAATACAAGATATGTATCTAACCGGTTTCGATTATATCTTCATCAGAAATACGTATTTCTGACGAAGATATAATCGAAACCCGTCTAATACATCTCTTGTACTGAGAAGATATTCATTCTCTATCATACCTTTTCTAGATGTGTCGCAGTGAATGCCGTTCAGCACATCTAGCTCTAAACATTGAGAGAAAAGAAAGACGGATAGGGACGGGGAAAATAAACTCTAGAAGGGAAATGCGTTGCTATTTAGCCCAGCATGCGGAGCACCATATCGAATTCGATCCTTTACTGAAAACCCCTTTTGAAGGTCGAATGTTCCCCGGCTCTGGCTACTGTACATCTGATAAAAGAACCAAATATCGTCTTAATAAGCTTCCATCTCCAATAAAATATTTGCTCGGTAGAGGCAAAAGACGCAGGAACTTAAAACATTATTAAAGTCCCCTTTTCCATTAACAGTATCAGATGTTTTTCATGTCAGTCCTCTATGCATCAGATAAAAGGACCAAATATTGTCTTAATATATTCCCATCTCCTATAAAACGAGTTCTCCTTCAATATCCTTTCGCCCCAAAGTCCTCACTCTTATTTTCCTTCCAGTAAAAAGGGTCTCTTCTCTGGCCTCAACCACTGGCGTAGAGACCAAACAGTATCTATCATTATCTAATATTATGTATCATTTCATCTCCTACAAAACCTCTGCAGACGATTCCCTTTCATCAGCATATTGAATTTAGGAATTTTTTATTTCATTTCTTTTCCTTCCAGCGAAATGGGTTGATCTCCGGCTCCTTCCACTGTACATCCGGAATAAAGATCATTTGTTACCTCACTACGCTTCTGTAGGACTTTTTAAAATCCAAAATCAAAAACGCATGGAATTTAAAATATATGCAAATTAGGCCTTCCAATATTTTAACCCCCAAACACACACACACACACACACGCGGAACATAGGGCTCTTAGATAAATAATAATAATACCCCCTCCCCCCCCAGCAACGTGGGCAGCCGCATGTTCTCAGGCTCCGACCCGCTGGCGATGCGCGAGACGCTGGCCGCCGCGAGAACAGGACGCCGCAGGAGGGAAGCCTGTGAGGTGGCCTTCCCCTCCTGCCCCGGCCTGCGCCCCCGCCACCAGCAGCAGCGCTATTCCAACGCCACTTGGCCTCTGGACGCGACTCCTCTGCGGGCTGGAGGAGGGACGAAGGAGAAGGAGAAGAAAAGGGGAAAGGAGGAGAAGGAGGAGGAATGGGCCTTGAATGCGCTGTACGAGTGAGGGCCTGGGGGGGGGGGGAGAGCTGCGTGCGAGTCGGAGAAGTACAAGGGCATTAACTGAGTGGGGCGTGTTGGTGGGATTTTGTTTTCCTCGCCTTCCTCTCTCTCATTCTCTCTCTTCCTCCCTCTATCTCTCTCTCTCTTCCTCTTCCTCCTTCTCTCTCTCTCTCTCTCTCTCTCTCTCTCTCTCTTTCTCTCTTTCTCTCTCTCTCTCTTTCTCTCTTTCTCTCTCTCTCTCACATAGCTTCTTTTCCTTCTTCTTCCTCTATCTCCTTACCTTAATTTATTTGGCCCAGGACACAAGGAACAATTTCGTGGGCATTTTTTCCGGAATATGTAAATATACTTAAATGTTTATTCCTAATATAAAATGTACAGTCATTATTTAATAATAATCAGTAATATTTAACATACGTTTGTTTGTATTATCCTCACAGTACTCGGCTTTAATACGTTATCCTAATTGATATCGATATAATAGGAATGCAAATAGGAAGATGTAATTGGTTCCTTATCTAATGCCAGATAAGAAAGTACACATTAATATATATATATATATATATATATATATATATATATATATATATATATATATATATATATATATATATATATGTATATATATATATATATATATATATATATATATATATATATATATATATATATATGTATATGTGTGTGTGTGTGTGTGTGTGTACACATATGTGTGTGTGTGTGTGTGTGTGTGTGTGTGTGTGTAAGTGTGTGTGCGTGCGTTTGTGAGTATAAATGTATCCTTCCTTACACCTAATATGAGACACTTATCGAACCGAAGTGTACGCACACAGACGCAAACCAACGAAAACAGACAGTAACAACGTAAAAAAAAGTCACAACATAAAAAATAAAGATACAGCTGACTTCAAACCTAAAATTCCTCTTAGCAAAGAATATTCCTTCTCTAACGGGTGGATCGGCGAAGTTCACGCAGGAAGCCACACGCTTGCCGATGCGCCGTTATTCGGGGAGGGAGGAGGCTCAGGCGGAGCGCTACGGCGTGGGGGGGGGGTGGTAGTTGGAGAGACAGAATGATGGACAGACACATAGATTGATGGATAGAATGACGGGTGGTTTGATGAATAGACAGGTAGACGGATAGCGTGACGCATGGATAGACAGAATGAAGGATGGATAGACAGATAGATGGAGTGAGTGTAAACAGATGGGTGGATAGAATGAAGAATGGATAGATAGGCATATAAGTGGAAAGAATGATGGACAGACAGAGCTAGACAGACAGAATGAAGGAGGCAGACAGACAGACGCAGAGACAGAAGGATGGATAGAATGAAGTGTGGCTAGACAGACTAAGAGAAAGAAGGGTGAAATGACAGACAGGGACGTATAGAATGAGGTACCTACAGACAGATGGCAAGACAGAAAGAAGGATAAATAGACAGGCAGATGAACGGACACAAAAAAGGATGGACAGAGAGACAGATAAAGTGACAGACAAATCGAAAGAGACAGACAGATGGACGGGCTTTTAGATGACGATAGGTACTCTGACAGACAAATAGACGGACGGGCAAAGGACGGATATGCGGACATGAACTGAAGGGCAAACAGAAATCAGACAGCAAGTGGGCTGAGAGACAGAAAGAGCGACAGTCATACAGACAGAGACAAGCAAACGGCCGAACAAAGATGAACAGGCAGACTAACAAAGTGACACACAGACATAGATGAACAGACACACAGACATAAAATACAGACAGATGAGCTGACAAACAGACAGACGGCCAAATACACAGAGACAGAAGAGAGTGCCAACAGTAAGAAACACCCCATATATACTTAAACCCATAACACAAAGAAACACCCCATAAACATTAACAAACAAATGAACCGACAGACAGCCACACAGACAAACAGACTGACAGACAGAGTGACAACCTCACAGACAGACAGTTAAACAGACAGACGGCCAGAAATACACAGGGAAAGCACCCACCACACACCCAACCGAGCCCTTCCAACACGTCCCTCTCCCAAAGCCAGTCCCTCGCCCAGCCTTTATGAGCGAGTGCGACAGACTCTTCGCATTAGCACGTAACGGTGGCGAGGCCAGTGCTCCTCCTCGCCCAAGATTCACGAGCGAGCATTACTTGCAGGAAATTTATCCAAAGGAGAGAGAGAGAGAGAGAGAGAGAGGGAGAGAGAGGGTTGTTATAGCAGCAGTTCCGCGGTGGCTTCCCGGGCGGTAAGTTGGGTGCGGCCTCATGAGAAAAAGGAAAGGAAGAATTTCGAATTTTGTTTTTTTATAAGTGATGTATTATGCCAGTTGTCTCTCTTGGGGGGTTGAGAATTGAGTGTGCTTGGACTGCCGACAGAGCTTGGTGTTGTGATCGGAGTCTGAAGTGAAGAAGAGAAAACAAGACAGCAGAGGAAACACCGGAGGAATGTTTACTGATGGAGATCTCGCAGCTACAGCGAGAGATGGGTTAGTGCTTGTGTGTGTGTGTGTGTGTGTGTGTGTGTGTGTGTGTGTGTGTGTGTGTGTGTGTGTGTGTGTGTGTGTGTGTGTGTGTGTGTGTGTGTGCGGTCGTGCGTGTGTGAGTGCGTGTGTGCATGCGTGAGTGCATGCGTGCGTGCCTACGAGCGTGTGCGCGCGTGCTTGCCTGTTTGTTATGGTTACCTCTGACAACATACGTCATAATATCTTTATTCCTATACCCTCATCCTCCGTTTGTGCATCTGTTCAACTTTTTTATTATTATTATCCCTTGTAAATATAGTGCCTTCCACAATCGATCCCTCCGTAGCCTGAGCCCTGCTAAGCTATCAAATGGTTCGCAGGTACGAGGCCTTCGACTGCTCGAGAGCCGTGGCCCTCATCGGCTTCCTCGGCCTCCTCTCCAACTTCCAGGTGAGGCCACTTCTCCGCTCTGACGCTTTTGTTGTTGTTAATATTGTTGGTGTTTTTGTTGTCGTTGTTGTGCGTTGTTACTGTTGTCATTTTGCATTTTTTAAATGAAATATAGATTATTGCCTTTTATTTCTGCTGTGATTATAGTCTAACCAAATTCATTGCCGATGATTTCTGAGCAATTATCCATTCCCACCAATGCCAACTTCGCCAAGAGTTACAGAAAATAATTCCCTGCCCTTTATGTCTGCCATGAGTAAATCACCTAACCAACCACAAAAAATGAAGGGAAAAACTGTTATAGAAAATGCAGTTTTTATATCACCTTATGATATAAATGCAAAAAAAAAAAGCAGTTTAAAAGTTGCAACAGCTGAGACGATGATTCTCGTAGACAGGATAACGCAGACAATTTGCAGCATGTTTAGGGACCCTATTGGCTTTCAATAGCATTGATATGTGTTACATATGAATAAATAAGCTAAACCAAACTCAACGGTTTACTCAAGTAAACTTCAAGAATTATAAAATAGACACAGTGATAAACGGATGACGTGAAATAAATCTGATATTCA